GGTTTGTAATAATCCTTTGATTTATTTGATTGTATAATTTTTTTTTTAATGCAGGCCAGGACAATTATATTTCTTGCAAGTAAAGAAGTAGAAGAGAAATCGAACAGTGGGCTTAGGTACAGCCCATGTCCATCACCGGGGCCCATATCACCCATATGCAGCCCATCAATGAAAAGATCACTGCAGAGGTTTCTTGAGAAGAGAAAGGCCAGGGCCCAATCAATGTCCCCTTACTCTACTTAAGCATCACCATCAAAATTAACTTGTGATTTTGGGTGCCTTAATTATTCAGTTCTTAATATTTTGTTTTTTTATTTTTTTTTTTTCCTGTTGCTTTGTATAATTTGGATGGAAGTGTGTTAGGAATACTGTAAAAGCTTGACTTTCAGTTTCTGACAATACAATTTTCAATAAAAATCATGTTTTAATCAAGTGCATGTTTGTAATTTATTTATTTATGCAAACATAATTCCTTTATTTTACATTGTAGATAATATGGTTCGATGTTTGAATAAAAATATCATATTATTTGTGTCTTATAAAATATAAATTAATTGTTCACATACCAGACAGAATTGAACTAACTCATGTTCTGAAAGGTTGTAGTGTGATTTTGAATCAGTTGGTCTTTAACTGATGAATTACACTAGTACATCTCGGACTTATGAATTACATAGTACATCTCGGATGTATTGGATGGACCTACGGAGGATAATATTATTTTATACTGACCAAGTAAATAATTTAGATCTCAGTAATTATTTCGCTCTCTTACCCTGCGAGATAATATAAACATGCATATGTATTCGGAAGTCGGAACCTGCTTATTTGATTTACCGAGGGTGAGGCTTATTATGGTAGGCTGACAAACTTAGTATAATTGTAAGTAAGAGTCTAGTACATGATGTGATGTAGAGATTATTTACGGTCACTGTGTCTCAGTCTACCGAGTTGATACCGTTCCTGAAATGAGCTCAAGAAGGTTTATTATGTCAAGCGTGAGGCGGACTTTGTTTCTGGCATAATTAGAATGAATTGAGTGGTACTAGTTTTGGATATAAATGTTGATTAACTAAATTGTCAGTAATTTAATTAAGCAACAGACGTTAAATCTTAAACAGAGTGAGGCAATTCCAACAATTAGCAGGGAACGAATTATTTATAATTCGGACACTAAATGGAGAGTTCAATAATATTATTATAGTTGCGTTTAATATTATCCGAGTATGAGTGGAGTGGGTTTGGCCCACAGTTAGACCTATAATTGGGGAGCTCATATTTAGCATCTTCTTAGGGTCTGTATTGCAGCTTATAATATACACCAACTCCTTCTCTTCTCCCAACACAATATACACGCCACCCTCTCTAGTTCTTAAGGCAAATCGGCTGAAACTGAGAGCAAGGAAAAGAGAAAAGAACGTGAGTTTTGTGTGAGGTTTAGGAATTCGATAAGCCGTCCACCCCGACGAATCGAAATATGTGCAAGGTTATACAATAGCAATCTGGGGTAATTTATTCGTCCATCCCGACGAAATGTATACAACCATGTAAACCTCTTCCACCAACGATCAACCACCACCGAAGGCGGCGACCACCAGTGCACAAAGGCGCACCATTCGGCTGTCGAGACGAGCGACCAGCAGAAACCGCAACCCCCAGCGCGACCCGAAAATTCTCCGGGAGCAGCCGCGCGACGCACAACGCAGCGAAGTCTGACACGCACAGCCCGCGACCTCACGACTCGCCGACGCTCGCAGCTCCCCACGACGCGACCTGCAGTGACTTTGCAGCTTCCCGCGACACGACTTCGTGCGACTCGGCTCGACTCAGTGTCGTCCTCGGTGTTTGACGAGCATCCCGACGAGACAGATGATCTCCATCAACGAAAATCTACAATGTCTCATAGTCAGCAAATTTTGAAACGTAGTCATCGAATCCTATCAATAAATTCTGCAGCGATAGAATTAAATTCGTTAAGTTATTCGATGCACACATAAACTGACGTTCTTCACCGAACCAACAAGGTGTACTTTACATAAAATCATGGTGATCCTTTTTTTTTTCCTTTCATATGAATGCTTGTTGTTGTTGGTTATGCTACCCTATTGATGGTTTTATTCGAATATTTTAAGCATTGATTATGATTCTTTTGGAATTTAGTATGGCCGGGGAATGCTTGAAGTTTGTCGGAGACGAGAGATTTTGATATATGTCGTTTGTTTTAAAAAAAATGGTGTACCTTCACAGAACAAGGAAGCTTTCTATTTATAGTAAATCTTAATTTTTTTCTCTGTTACAGCTTAAGCGCTTGTTTGAGAGAACTTTTGTAAAAATCCATTTGAGAAAATGAACTTGTTCGAAATGGATTTCTCAAAAAGTCTCAATCTTTTACTTCTACATAATGGACTTTTGAAGAAACAACTTATCTATAAGTCCGTTCTTAATTTAGCACCAAACATAAACATTTATCCAAATAGACATTGTATTCAAAAATACATTTAAAAAGTGTTTTTAAACATGGTCTAAGAACCTTGAGAATTACAAATTTATGGAGTTGACTGTTGAGTATTATGTGATTATTTCAAAATTGGGTAAATAACTTTCTCCAACTTTTACTACATGTGCTTTTGCGTTTTGCAAACCTATAGTATTTTTTTTTTTTTAGCAAAATGCAACCTGAACTTCATGAACTTTCATAATTTGCATACTCACCTACATCTTGACCATACACGTGTCCATTTTTGTGGATGATCGTATGGTCAAGAAGTAGATGACGTGCAAATGCTTTGAATTTGGCAACCTATAGTATATTTTTTTTTGCAAAATGCAACCTGAACTTCATGAACTTTCATAATTTGCATACTCGCATACATTCTAACTATACATGTGTCTATTTTCGCAGAAGATTGTATGGTCATGAAGTAGACGGTGTGCAAATTATGAATGTTAATGAAATTCATATTGCAATTTACAACAAAAAATACTATATGTTGCAAATTCCAAAAAAACATGTATATATAGTACACACTGAAAACAAATGTTTTACCCTTCAAAATCTGGTGATAAGATATCTCCCAAATTTGTAATTCTTATTCTCCTCATGTTCTCTCTATTTGATGATCATTATATCAAATCCTTATTTTTCATGCCTTTTTGCTCTGTTTTCTTTTTCTTTCTTGTGGGAAAGTATTAACAAAGTGCATCTACAGCAACCAAAAAAAAACAGGTAGATTTTCTTGTAGCAACACTTGAACTTGATGCTAGTTTAGCTCCTCATTTAAAGTCATTTATTTAGTATAATTTCAAAATACAACCATTACAATACAAATTGTTTCATTCCAAATACAAATGGGAAAATAATGTTGGCTCAAAAGTTACTCAAGATCAATCCCAAATTCCAAATACCATCAAAGTTCTTAAGAAATAGTTAGTCCTCATGAGCCAGTTTACAGACGAGCCGCGTTCCAAGGGGTCGTGATGTGGGCCCGTGTGATCTCGTTGACCGATCGACAGCCACTCAAAGCCATTGTCAGCTCAAACTCGTCGTGAAGCATTTGAAGCACCTTTTTCACGCCTGATTCGCCATCTGCAGCTAGGGCAAAAACGACCGGCCGCCAAAAAAAAAAAAAATCAAAATAAATAAATAAATAAAATAATTGATTTTTAATATTGTAGAAAACCAAGGGACTTACGAAAACACCCGATGCACCGAGTGCTAGTGCTTTGAAAACGTCCGTGCCACGCCTCACCCCACCATCAAGAAAAACGGGAATTCTTCCCTGCGCGGCTTTCACGACCTGCATTTTTTACAAATATTTTTGAATTAATAATGCTAAATTGCATTTTTAGTCTTGCTGATTTAACGTCGTAGTAGTTTCAGTCCCAAAATTCTAACATTTCGCTTTTTGGTCATGTGATTTAATATTTTGCTGCATTCGATCCTTTTAGGACTGAAACTGCAACAAATTCCCAAATTTATATCTTTGGGATGGATTTCCAAAAGTCTAACATTTCGCCTTTTGGTCCAGTGATTTAATATTTTGTTGCATCCAGTCCTAAAATTCCCAGATTTATATCGTTGGGATGGATTTTTTATTAGCAATTTCAGCTAGTAATTTAAAATATTAAATCACATGACCAAAACGCAAAAAGTTAGAACCTTTGGACTAAAATTGCTATGGCGTTAAACCATCAAAACTAAAAATGCATTTTTGCCAATTAATAATTACAAAATCGCCTCCAAAATCGAAGCATGGTATCTTGTTATTACTTTGGAAAATCAGAAGGATTTTGAGTTCATGAAGACTGTAAACTTTTCGGGCGCAAATAAAAATGCAAGTACGAAAGAGTAGAGCTATCAGTAGTTAACACGATGTAGTGGTGTTCGATTAACAAGAACTTCAAAATCGACACATGAAAAAAAAAAAATTGTTAATAGGATGATTATGGATATAACTTATAATTGAAATGAAACCTCTTCCAAGGCCATTATTGTTGCAGGAACATAGTCGAGCTGCCGAGCTCCATGATTTGACACGATAATCCCTGCTACTCCAGCTTGTACGGCAAGTTTTGCTAAATAAAACATTAAAAAATAAAATAAAAATATTGAACATAACTATAAGGGAATAAATATAAAACGAAATGCTCCTTTTTGCTAAAAAGTCGTGCATTTACCATCCTCAGCAGTTAACACTCCCTTCACTAGAATCGGCAAATTAGTGATAGTCTGAAGCCACTTCACATCCTGCCAGGGGCAAAATGGGGAAGATTTTTTTTATGTTCTGTTTAACAGAAATATTGGATTGAAAAATTTTGTGAGTTAAACGGAATTATTACCTTCCAATTAAGAGACCGGTCGACTTGATCTGCAACATATGTAGCAAGTCCAGAGTCATTTGTCTGCCATAAAAAAACAATTTTTTTTTTAGCTAAAACTATCTAAAAAAGATGAATACAACAAATATTAATCATATGAAAGTAACAAACTAATGCATTCATTCACTAACCCTATCTATTGTGCCAAGGTCCAAGCCTTCAAAATTTTTCAGAGTCAAATTGGCTGGTAAGGCAAATCTGTACACATAAATGAAGCTTTAATTAATCTATTTTTTTTTTAAAAAAAATCTTTTTCTTTATATTCGAATCACTAAACGAAACAAATCGGTGACTAAATAGTAAATAACCTGTTCTTGATATCAGCTTCTCTTCGCCCGAGCCTTGGTGTATCAACTGTAAGAGCAATTGCTTTAAAACCGGCATTTTCAGCCCTTCTAACAAGCTGCCGAACAACATTTCTATCCTTGAACACCTAAAGTAAAAGCAGAAAAAAGATAATCTGATTCAATATATATTAACTGAAAAAATAAACAGAAAACACAATGATAAAAATCATGAAACTCTTAATTAAACTCACATAGAGCTGAAAAAATCGAATGCCAGGTCCAGTCGAGGCAACCTCTTCAACACTACACGTTCCCCAAGAGGATAATGTCTAACCATAAATCAAGCATCAAATCAAATTAGAGTAGAACAAGTTCAAAAAAATAATTTAGAAAAAAAAATGAGGATAAAAATATCCACACCATTATGGTGCCAGCAGCTGAAGCTGCCCTAGCAGTAGCAAGTTCCCCTGTAATGAAACAGAGTCAAACTTCAGCAAGTCGTCCAAAAAAAAGTCAAACCTTAACTTAGCATCGAGTAAAAAGAGAACCATCTTTAAAAAAATTGTTTTTGAGACCCAGTATTAGTAACAACAAAAAAGGCAAAAATGCATTTTTTAGTCCGGTTGATTTAACGTCATAGCAATTTTAGTCTCAAGATTCCGAATTTTTGGCTTTTGAGTCATGCGATTTAATATTTTGCTGGTCTCAAATTGCAACAAAAAATTTAAATTATAGGACTGAAATTGCTAATAAAAAATCTGGGAATTTGTTGCAATTTCATGAGGACTAAAATTGTAGCAAAATATTAAATCACAAGAACCAAAAAACAAAATGTTGGAAACTTGAGACTAAAATTGCTATGGCATTTAATCATGAGGACTAAAAAATCCAATTTTTCCCAACAAAAAACAATCAAGAAAATTTTATTCATGAACTTTATTCGATCCGAAAAAATTGATATAAAGAATTTCACAAGGGCCAGAGTTTAAGAAAAGTTAATGTTCATTACCTTCAGAATGGGCCATTTTCTGCATGGCTGTAGGAGCAACCATTATCGGCATTGAGATCGTGTGACCCAAAACAGTTGTACTTACATCAACCTTGCTAACATCAACTAAAATCCGAGGGCGAAACCTGTGTTTATTACAAGGATTTTTCATGAGGAAAACAAAGAAAGATACAATAAAAACACGATGAAAAAATAAATAAATTTAGCCATTTGGTTGTTCTAGAAAAACATTTGTAGAATAAAATTTTGAGTTAGAGTTTCATATCTTCCTTCTAAAATGATAAGAAAAACATGAGAGAACCATATGAAAACCATACTTGCTTCAATTTCCTTTTTCCTCGTCAAATAACTTACACCGAAACAGATTTGCTAAAGCAAAAACCAACAACACAACAAAACATATTTGCTTCAAATTCTCATTTTACTGAAAATGAAGAGAAACAAGTTAGAAAATATAAGAAAAACATAGATAAGTTTAAGTGAGCATGGATATAAAGCCACATTACAATATCCTAGAGAAAGCATTTCGATTCTCTTGTAGAGTCCACTGATCCTCTGCACCAGATGCATAGTAATCGTAAACCATTTTCGGCAATTTTTCCCTTGCAATTGCCTCAAACTCCATAACATTGGTAATGCTTTCCATTTTTAGAGAAGTCGTGAGAAAATCCTCTGAATATACCATTCAAGAAAAAGCAAATAGCAAATTTATAAAGGGAATACAAAGATAATACAATGAATATATATAGAAATGATTGTGCATTTACAGAAACTTAAATTCAAATCTTTTGATTGTGGGGTTTAGCAATTTAATTTGTATAAAAAAGAAAAGGGCAAAATCAGTAGAAAATATCAAAATTTATCACTGTCATTCATAGTAAAAATGCAATCTTTGGTGATTGTAATTAGAAAGATAAGACAATGAATAAATTAATTTCATGGATAAATATAGAGAAAGGATTGTGCATTTGTAGAAGCTTCAATTCAAATCTTTTGATTGTGGGGTTTAGCGATTTTATTTGTATAAAACAGAAAAGGGCAAAATCAGCAGAAAAATATCGAAATTTATCACTGCCATCCATATTAAAAATGCAATCTTTGGTGATTTTAAGCAGAGAGATGATTATGCTCACTCAGGGACGTAACTATAGTTTACAAATCTTCATGAAACATAATGAAATGTCTTATGCAAAACCAAATAAAGAAGATAAAAAGGAAAAATAACCAAAAAAAAACAGAATAAAAATACAGGTTCATCATATAATAGCCAAAATTGAAGGAGTACAAATCACCCGTGTTAATCAATCATTGTAATAAAGGTGATGGGATTTTTATTCATTACTAATCACATAAATCATGAAAACTCATCAAGAAAAAACATAAATAGATCACTGAAAACGACCAATTTTTAGATTAAAACATCAAAATACGATGAAATCACGAAATAAAAAGTTAAAAACCATGAAACACCACAAGAAAAGCTGCCAAACACTAACCTCTGATTGAAAGAGAACAATGAATGAAACAAGAATTGGTTTTCTCAGCACTGATGAGAGCAGAAGCAAACTGAAGAAATAAAATAAAGGACAAAATATGGTGACGGGGATTTGTAGTCTTTTATTCGCAAAAGGATTTATAATAAATGATTGATTGATTGAATATGTTTTTGAAATGATTTATTTGGTTGAATTAAATAGTAGTTGGATAAAGAATAATTAGACAATAAATTTTTTAATTAATGCATAAACTTAGGTTTCAATGATGATGCATAAGACAATAGTCAATAGATTTGTTTATATTATACTTACGTTGGACACACACACAAAAAAAAAAAAAATATCAATTCATCAATGATATATCAAATGACATCATTAAACCTATAATCTATATTTGTTTGGGTTAATAATTTCCCAGAGTTGGATCTAAGTGTTCGATTAGTTTGGTTTCTTGTGATCGATCAGTGGATCACCGATTGGTATCGATTTTATATCTTTGTCTTTCGAACTTCATAGTATCTATTATTTAGAAAAAGAAAATTATAATAATAATAATAATAACAATAATTTGCAAAGAAAGAAAAAAACAACAAACGTAACAAAGGTGTAAGTGTGATTGAGTAGTGAGACCAATTATTTATTTGTTCTTTAAAGAAAAACCAAGTGGAAATTAAAATAAATAAAAATAAAAATAAAAAATACTGATACAAACACAAATTTGATTTTACCACTGCTGCTGGATTCCGTGACTTCATGCGATTTTGCATTGTCATTATTTTCGATAATTTATATATAAATTAGGTCAATGTCAGAGAATGGGCTGCACCTGCATTTTTATTTGAATATCTGTGCACCCATGCAGCTCCATTCCCAGTAATTAAGTGGATCATTGCAAATATTTTTTTTATATTATTTTATTTTTCCCCTTGATCACATCGTAGTAAATAGTAATAGTGTTAAAAAGAAAGTATAAAATTCAACCAAATGACTAGTATTCCAATTTGAAATTTCAGCGAATTTTGTGGATTAGGGTTAAGAGTGAACAAATTCAAGAACTGTGCAATTAGGTAGGATACACTTCAATTATTTCAGCGTATAAATTTTTTAATTTAGTTTCTTTATATTATATACAGTAGTGCGATTCAATCTTTATTTTAAATGATTTGTTAATTTTTACAGTTCAAGTTGGTTTTATTAGCACGGTTTTGTTATGGAGCCATGGCTCGACTTATGAAGCCATCATTAGCTATCAACAAATGATGTATTGACACGTGTCCTGCAATAAATACAAATTGGACACATGTCAATGCATAAAGTTATGGATGGCTCCATAAGGGAACCATCCGATGGCTCCATATAATTACTGTTTATTAGCCTATTAGCCTTTGTACTATTACCTATAGAATTATAGCCAAAATCCTTGCTAATAGATTAAAACCATCCTTAAATGCCTGCATTTCCCTTTCTCAGGCAGCTTTTGTTCCTGACAGATTGATTTTAGATAATATTGTCATAGCTAATGAGTGCCTCCATTTTCTTAATGAAAAAAAACAAGGTAAAAATGTTATGTGGCACTCAAATTAGACATGGTCAAAGCCTTTGATAGAATTGAGTGGCCTTTTCTCATTAGAATCTGTAGGAAAATGGGTTATTGTAAAAATTATTGGCCTGGATGTGGGTCTGTATTAGTTCCACCTCTTTTTCATTTAATATTGGTGGTCAAACCCTAGGTAATATCCTTCCTTCCAGGGGCTTGAGGCAAGGGGACTCATTATCCCCATACCTATTCATTTTGGTCACTGAGGCTCTATCCCATTTGCTGCATAAAAATGTTTCTTTGTCTCAGTTTCAGGGTCTCAATATCAGCAAAATTCCCCTAGTATATCTCATCTATTTTTTGCAGATGATGTTTTGATTTTTTGCCAAGCTAATTCTTCTCATGCATTTGCTATTCTTAATATTTTGAATTCCTACTGCTCAGTGTCAGGGCAAGCTGCTAATATGCATAAATCCAATGTGTTTTTTTTCTGCTAAAGCCCTTAGTTTTGTCAAATCTGATATCTGTGCTATTCTCCATGGCATTGTGATTGCCAAAAACTCTAAATATTTAGGGCTGCCCATGGGAATTGAGAGAAACAAAAAAGAGACTTTTGCCTTTGTGATAGATATTGTGTGAAATCTAGAGTGTGCAATTGAAAAAACAAATTTCTTAGTGAGGCTGGCAGAAAGATTCTCATAAAAACTATTTTGGGTGCCTTACCAGTTTATGTTATGTCTGTATTTAGGATCCCTGTGGGTATTTGCAAAGA